GGAAATCATTGAGAGTCTATGTTCAGCAGTGGACGTCCTGTGGCTGAAATGATGATGATGGATGGGAGATCAGATATAATATCTTTATCTAACCCACGAAGAAAAACTTTAATTATTTATTCACCAGTAACTTCATTTAAAACATTGATTAAACCTGTTTAGCAGTTAAGAATAACGATTTCGTGGGCATTAATTTGGGTCTCATGAGTGTTGTAGGGTAGTTGTGGCTTTATGAGCCATATTAAACGATTATAGCCACTAATAAAGCCTAACGTTAGGGCTAGAATGGAGTGCCTAAGTACTTAAAAGTTTATGGTATATAAAATTAGTTGTTAGTGTGTACAAATACAACAGTACCTAGCTATTCCCTTTTTGGGGACTATAGTTCTATAGTGATGTAATTATTGTTAATGAACTTTACGCTAATTTAAAAAAGTCTACATTGCTAATACCTATACTGAAAGACAAATTGGGTATTTGAGAGCATAAACCAATAAATTCAGAAGGCACAACTACTCTAAAAGAATAGGTACCTAGGTAATTTTAGTTGATTGTAGCCTTAAACTCAAATTACTTAGTACCTAATACCTTTAAATTGATATTTAGGTAATAAACTGGCGAAATAGTGACGCTATCGGCTAGTATTGCCATCTAAAAATGTACGGGAGAAGTGATTTTTTGTCAGCTTACAAAAGTAGGTAGGTATATATCAATTAATTGATGTTTTTTTGTTTTGTTACAGTTCAACAAACCCGTTTTTGGACTGAGAGTGCCAAATTTGACCGACTTTGCTGGCCCTGGCGTAATTTTGACGTGAGTACTACATTATATTTTATTAACTCTTAACCGTTAAAATCCGCTCTGAATAATTTGTGGTGTCGAAAAATTAATGAAAATTAGAAGAATTTGCCAAAAGAAAACCGACTTATGTAATCCGACAGTAGCCCAGCGGTGTCGCTATTGTACTGCCGATTGGAGAATCGAGGAACGCTTGTTCGATCTTGCTAGACTATTGTGGTGAACCTGCTCCGAACACAAGCATTTAGCTTACTAATCTAATTAGTAACTATTATTGTCTTTAAAAGAAACCAATAGATTGTCCAGGATTCTCTAATCGCTATAAAGCGATCTGTTCCAGACAATCTAGAGGACATTTGCTAGGTTTAAATGTAAGTCACTACTACTACGTACATAGCTCGTAGAGACTATTGCCTTCGGGGCAGGAAAGTTCTCGAGTGGCGACTGGCGACCACGGGCTGGAAAACGTAGCGTGGGCAGGCCTCCTACTAGGTGGACCGACGATCTGGTAAAGGTCGCGGGAAGAGCAGCGCCTTACTCTTTCTGCCAGACCCGTGGTTGACTGGCAGAGAATGCCATCCGGCATTAAGTCCGCCTCAGTGCATTGATTGTATGTGTGCTAAAAGTTTAAATCCCATCCCAACTAATATTATAAATGCGAAAGTAACTCTGTCTGTCTGTCTGTCTGTCTGTCTGTCTGTCTGTCTGTCTGTCTGTTACGCTTTCCCGCTTAAACCTCGCAACCGATTTTGATGAAATTTGGCATAGAGATAGTTTGAGTCCCGGGAAAGAACATAGGATAGTTTTTATCCCGGTTTTTGAAACAGGGACGCGCGCGATAAAGTTTTTCTGTAACAGACAAAATTCCACGCGGGCGAAGCCGCGGGCGGAAAGCTAGTAAATAAATAATTAAGAGCCTGATGCGGGGAGCGTAGGACCGTTCATTGTGGAAATCCTTGGGGGAGGCCTTTGTCCAGCAGTGGACGTCATTTGGCTGAGACGATGACTAGTACGTGATCAATATTTTACAATATTTTCTTCCACCCTACAGGTCTTAAGTATTACTTTTGCTATTTTTGCCCAGGATCATCTACTTTTTGGCGGTCGCCTTGACATCAGGAGCGTTGTTAGCTGAGAGGAACGAGGGAATATTGGAGCGGTCACTTGTATGCGGGATTACTGGTAAGCACTAGCAATGGGCAGAGCACATAGTACGCAGACGGCCAAATGGGGCAGAAAGGTTCTGGATACAGGCCGCTACCAATCGGGCGATGAGAAAATTATTAGGATAGGCCTATTGTGATGATGAGTAAATCAAAGATGACCCCATATTTAAACTATAAACAAACGCAAAGTATCTGGAGTTCAGGGTCTCTAAAGCAGCTTTAGGTATCCATTTGATGCATTCTGCTTGGTCCTCTACATCTAGCTAAGTTATTTCTTAGGCAACAATTTTAACTATTGTATTACATACACTTTCCCCGGGATAAACTTGACCTTCACTGGTTGGTTTTTTATTGGCGGTCAAGCTGTAGATCCTGGCTACACAGGAGTTGCAGCGGTGGGAACGAGAGATGGGAAATAGTCCCGTATTATGTTACATTATTTCATTGTTTACTTAAGGTACCTACAAACAACCGCTATCATATTCATTATGGCACGTGGAAGCCTGTATGAAATCAATGGGCAATAGAAGCCATGACAATGCCTATCGGCATTTTCTATCGGCCGTTGGTTTTAGTTGCTTGACCGACAATCACTATTGTTGGAGTTCAACGTATAGTTATGACGTAGAGAACACTATTATAATAAACTCAATAATATAATAAAAAAAAATCTGCCAGCTCGTGGCTTCAGTGCTCAGTAAATGATTTTTCCTGTACTTTGAAATACTATTAACTTCCAAAGCCAAGAAACTATTCCCACCTCTCGTTCCCACCGCCACTCCTGTGTAACCAGAATCCACTGCTTGACGTCAATAAAAACCAAATCAATGAAGGCCAAGTTTAAAGAAAGTTAGTTTACCACGAGGGGTTAACGGTATTATTAGTCATTTGTATTAAGGTACAATAAAAAAAATATTGGAACCGCAACGAAATTAAAAAAAAAAAATAATGTGAGTTCAAAGAAAGTATCGATTTCCCTCGAGTGCAAAGCGGACGATTGTTAAACCTTGTATTATTTTACTATGGGGTAAATGTTCCACATTGTGTCAAAGTACTGTTGTACTGTGACTTTGGATTCGGCAGATATTGAACAACACGTGAGGTGGACGACTATTATCGCGAGGCTAAGGGCCTGGCTTCCACTAAGACAAGGTGCGGAGGGAAGAAGTTTTTTGAATAACCAGTCAGATTCCATTTCCACCGAAGCGGAGCAGAGTGGTGAAGTGTCGGGCGCACTTGTTTTTCTATAGAATTTGACAGCGGCGACGGCGCGGCGTGTCGCGGTGCGGTATTTCATAGATAGCAATAGACTGACAGCTGACAGCTACGCACAGCTCACATAATTATCTCCTCTCTTCTACTGCTCCGGTCTTCTTCGCTCCGCTTTGGTAAAAATAGCCTGCCAACTTCGCCGCACATCTATCGTCTCCTTCCTTCAGAATAGAGCAACAACCACGAGCTGTCAAACGAAACCGAATAGTTACAAAAAACGGTTCTGTTGGCGTGACGGCGACGGCATTACGCATCTCTTTTTATCACACAGTATTGCTGCTAGCGACATCTCGTTCGCACAGTTGTTGTAGCTCTATGCCGCTAGGTATATTATTAACTTTATGGTGGAAACCGGCGCTTAAATCCTAACATCACACGACTTTGACAACACGTGTCTTACATTAAGCAGCGGAAAATTCGTGGTATAATCTCGCAAACTCCCTAATAAACATTGTTCATTGACAGAAAATCTTAGGTGTACGAACTTTACCAGGAAAGTATTGCTTGGTTTCAAAACCTATAGCACGAAAAACTTTCGTCTACGAATCGTTTGCGTATTCGAATCGCCATCAAAAGAGGCTGAGATGCAACAAATTACTTTAACCGTAACTTACTTTAACAATAACCTGTGCTTTTTGTATGGAGTTTCCAGATTTTTGACGTTTGTTAAAGTTAAAGTAAGATGGTGCAACTCAGCCTAAGTATGGAAACTTTAACACTGCCCCCACGGCCGTAACAAGAACCAAACAATTTTGTTTTTGTATCGAGATTGTATAGTGAACGTGACGTAAAGTGAACTTAGTATGAAAAATGGTAGCACGAAATTTTTTGACAATCGAGATCGTCACGTTGTCAATGAATTTGAAAGTTATCGAGTTTAAGAAATTTTACCGTCGTAGTGGAAAGATTGAATTCCAAACGATTCGATGACGAATGTTTTTCGTGCTAGAGGTACAGTTACCGAGAGAGTTCAGTTAACTTCAGGGACATTCCCCCGAAATCTCGGGGTAAGGGATATCGCATTATTGTTTTATTGTATGTAAAGGAGGGCCAAAAGTTTTGCCTTTACGGCTTTGGAAGAAGGAATTCCAGTGAATTCTTTCGGAGGGAATATAAAACTTAGGAATTCAGTATGTCAAATAATGTTTTCGAACTGACTTCACTTTGCTCATTGACTACTGTCTCAAAGGGTTGTTTACATATTATAAATTCGAAGGGAATCAATAGATTAATTTAAAGCCGTTCCCTATTACTTTCAAATCACTGATTTTCATCAACAAATATCTACTGGCACCTTTATACTCCAAACTGATCGATAGTCATGTTTACCTGACTGCGCCTGAAAGATAATTATGTATTTTAAGGATGATAAAGTACATACAGACTGTACTCAATAAAAGGGAGCAAGGAGTGCCACAAAACACAATCCCCCGTTTTAATTACTCAGTCACTACTAATTACCATTTTTATTATGATTATCACTTATGTAGGTACTTAAAGTACCTGAATGAGGGCAGCGTTGAATCGGTCGTTGTTGAAATCTTTGGGTGACTAATGCCCGTTATCATCATCAATCCCCAAATTTTAAGCGACACCTAACTATGGTAACACATTAACAGCAATTTTGTTTTCAAACGGGTCACTTCACTTAAAAAATAGAGATTGATGGTGATGCATTAGTCTTCGTCCAGCAGTGGACGTCTTTTGGCCGAAACGAAACGAATGAAGGTAGCTATAGTAAAAATGTATTCGTTTGTTCTCCAGGAACCGAGATTCTGTTCTCCCAACTGGTGGTGCAGATCGTGGTGATGTTGATCCAAACCGTCATCGTGCTTCTCATGGGCTTCGTCGGCTTCCAGCTCAGCCAGAACGGGCCTATCGGATGGGTGGGCATCCTCACAATGCTGACTGGATTCTGTGGGATGACTTTCGGTAAGTCGATGGACCATTCTCCCCGTGGATATCTTAAAAGGCCCAGCTCAGTCACAATGGGCCTATCGGATGGATGGGCATCCTCACAATGCTGACTGGATTCTGTGGGATGACTTTCGGTAAGTCGATGGACCATTCTCCCCGTGGAAATCTTAAAAGGCCCAGCTCAGTCACAATGGGTCTATCGGATGGGTGGGCATCCTCACAATGCTGACTGGATTCTGTGGGATGACTTTCGGTAAGTTGATGGACCATACCTCTGGATATCGTAAAATGTGGGCAGACCTCCAACTAGGTGGACGATCTGGTGAAGGTCGCGGAAAGTACCTGGATGCGGGCAGCGCACGACCGGCCGTTATGGAAATCCTTGGAAAAAGCCCTTGTCCAGCAGTGGACGTCATTTGGCTGAAACGAACGAACTCTGGATACTGTTCTAGATCTAGCTCAGCCAGAACGGGCCTATTGGATGGGTGAGCATCCTCACAATGCTGACTGGATTCTGCGGGATGACTTTCGGTAAGTCGATGGACCATTCTCCCCGTGGATATCTTAAAAGGCCCAGCTCAGTCACAACGGGCCTATCGGATGGGTGGGCATCCTCACAATGCTGACTGGTTTCTGTGGGATGACTTTCGGTAAGTTGATGGACCATCTCTCTGGATATCGTAAAAATACGTATTGTGGGCAGACCCCCACTAGGTGGATAGACGATCTGGTGAAGGTCGCGGGAAGTACCTGGATGCCGTCAGCGCAGGACCGGTTGTTAATGGGAATCCTTGGAAATCCTTTGTCCAGCAGTGGACATTGTTTGGCTGAAACGAACAAACTCTGGATATCGTTAAACACCCTTTGACCTGAAATACTAAAATCATTGGTCTTCATTTTGGTGGAGTAAAAAATGATGACAGAAAGAATTCAATCGTTTGTGACCAAAATGGTGCTTTTGTGTGATTAAAGAAAACCTATAATTAATTTCTATTTGCCCCTAATTAGCACCCTTAAAGAGTTGAATTTCAATGCATTCTAATGATAATTTTTTTCCAGGTTTCGTAGTAGCCACGCTTTGTGATACTGATAGAGCTGCCACGTACTTGGCGCTTGGATCTTTCTTGCCTATGGTGATGCTGAGTGGCTGCATTTGGCCTATTGAGGGTAAGTTACTTTCCAAAATCGCTAAAATTATCCATAATATTCGGTTATATCTACATCTAAGCTAATATTATAAAGAGGAAAGCTTAGATTGTTTGTTTGAATTGAATAGGCTCCGAAACTATTGGATCGACTTGAAAAATACTTTTACCATTAGAATCCTATATTACTTCTGGTCAGCTAGTGATAGAATATAAAACTTCCGAACATGACTCTTCACTATCCAAGAGATTCAATAAATAATTTCGTTCTCTGATGTCTATCACTACGGCAGAGTCACTTTCAAAATTCCATACAATCGTGGAATCTTTTAATTCCTATTAAATACTACAAAAACACTTACCTTCAATTTTTTTCAGGCATGCACAAAATTCTTCGATTCGTAAGCTACATTCTCCCTTTGACGACATCAACAGAGTCCTTCAGATCTATGGTCCAAAGGGGCTGGGGTATAGAAACACCGCAGGTCTACCTAGGGTTCATAGTCACCATCATTTGGATCCTACTACATTTGACCACGAGTATATTGCTATTGAAGTTCAAGAAAGGATAAGATAATATGGTACATTTATTTTGTACACAATACAATTTATTACATTGGGAATAATTGATATACATCTACATAAATTAAATATTGTTTGATTCAGTCTATAAAAATAAATATTCCTTCTAAGACCCCGCGTACAAAATTTTGCACAAAATAAAATACCTCTGTCAGTCACAGCTTTGTAATAATGTTTTAGTCATAACTGACCACTGTGCAATTTTTTGTACATATTCTTTAATATTTTTAGACTACATATTAATACAAAATAATGTTCTTAAAAGGCTTTGTAAGAAACATAAGAAAAAAATTCAATCAACTAACAATGTTAATAGAATTAAATATTATCTTGCCAATTAAAATATTTAAATGAATTTCAACTGAATGTAAATTGTATCGTGTACAAGGAACAATTAATTTAAGTAAATATCAGTCGTTACATGAGTGTTGTCTTTCAATTTTTTGTGTTATTTTTTTCTTAGTTTTCCAAAGATGTATATTGCAAGCCTTAATGGTATGGTTTCTTCTAAATTACACAAATAAGTTAGGTACACTTACTTCAAGATCGTCTAAAATAATGAATATTGCATAATTTACGCAAACAGTACATTATGGGTACTAAATAAATCAAATAAGCCTAATATTTCTCCTAGATTAGACCAGTTAAATACAAACAATTGAAAGCAAACCTCATTTATGAATATGTAAATTATTCAAGTGCCTTCCCGTCCTTTGTTACGAGGTATTAGAGTATTTAGTATTAGTCTAGTTCTGGTTTTATGTATTTAGTTCACCTATTTATAACATAGGTTACTTGGTTAAGGTTCTTTTCAATACAAATACGAAGAAAAATTGACGTTCGAATGCAAATATAAATAAAGTATCTGAAGACTGTAGAATTTAAGATCGGTAATACAAAATGTTTTTTTTGTATTTTGAACGTCGTTTTTAACTTATTGTAGTTATTAAAATTTGATCAATCACAATATTTAGTACCTTTCTTAATATTTGAGTAATGTAACATTATTTTAAAATTTGTCTAGACTCAAAATTGTTACATCATTAATGTGCCAATCAACCGCACTTTTCTTATAATTTTCAATGAATTTGTGGCTATGACTTTTATTGTATTTTCTTTTAATCTTTCAAAAATTATGAAAAATAAGTACAAATTATGAAAATAATGTTAAATTCTTTATTTTTATTTATTTTTGTATCGGGTTTTTACTTTCCTAATTTTATGAAAGTAACATCATAAATCATACTATCTATTTAAAATATGTACGTTTATTTATTTCTTAACAAATAGACTTGAACTTTGCTCATATTTTAGTTTTAATATTGAAAATAACATTGTGATAGTACGATTAAGGTTCTAATAAAAGAACGTAGTCAAACATATTGTTTTATTTTACAAACTCTCAACGTTTTATTATACAAAATATCTTTTAAAAAAAATTAAACAAAAAAGATTTTTTTTATTTAAAAAAATGTTTTTTTACTTACTAAACTCCCATTTCACGGTCGTCCTAGCGTACAAGAATAAACCGAGGCATACGAGTCTGTCAGACGTAGTTTGCAGGTCGCCGCGTTGTTATGGTATTGTTGCTCAGCTACCCTGGCATGGGGGTTTACTGCCACCTTGACAAAAAAAAAAAACAAATTTTATCAGTTAGTAAACAGCTGAATGATTTTTTGACAAGACCACACACAATACTTGACGTCAAGGACATTAAGGTAACAGCGGAAAGTATAAATCTATTTTTATGAAGATACAATCAAAAACTCTCTTTTTAAAAATATATTTTTGATTTTAAAAAGTTACTTTCACTTATAAGTAGGTAATGGGTAGATACAAGTAGGCAATAAAATTTTGCTTTTCCACGGTTTTTTTTTAATAATATGTGGTCCTACTGTAATAATGAGTCACATACTGGTAAACATACTTTATTGAAGTTTTGCAAATTATCTAAATTTTTGACAACTATGTAATCTTTTAAGGGTGGATTCGACCAAACAAGAGAAAAATTTTAATCTCAGAATAAATCGTCTGTTTTGACATAATATTTCCCATACTGAAACTGTCAATGTGCCAGTTATACCAGGAGTTGTTCTCGGATAAAAGTTTGGTCGAATCGGGCTTTAAGTAAGTCATATTATGTATAGTACAGTGGATTAGAGCCCCCAAATACCACAACAGTCTTGTTTTTGTTTACATCGGATAGTTATTGGAAACGTACCTTCTAATTATTCTCACAAAGTTACTGTTAATCGGGACACGAACTATGTCAAGGCGAGCGATTTGGGGCGGAATGAAAACATGGGACCGTAACTTTGGATTTAGGCTTTAATCGGACAAGTAAGCTAAAGTTTGATGTGTTTTAGACCTTAACACAGTGAGATAAAGTTCAGATGAATGTGGTGCTTTATTGTCTGCTTGAGGGTTAAAGGATGAAGCGTTTGGTTCCTGACTGAATTAATTCTTATTTATGAATGAAAACGAAAGCTAGGAAAGTGTATTTGGTTTGTCATTTTCACAAACTAAAAAGATTTAGGAAAACTAATGAAAAAGCCATTTTCAGTGTTATTGGAAAAAAATACATACAAGAGTTCTGATGTTTATGTGCGTACTTAGTAATGTAAATTTATAGATAATTCAAGAAACAAGGGTTAAAACATTGTATTTTCATTCAAATACTACCTACAACAGTTTGTAAAAAAACTTTATATCTTTACGATTCTTTCTGTATAGCTACTATAAAAAGTTGTTTTTAGAAATGTAACCTTCATAAGAATGCCTAACTTATAACGATTTGAAGTAGGTATCTTCAATTTGCAGTTATCGTTTTGTGTGTACCTTTATGTAAACAGTAATATAATAGCTATAGGTAACTAGCTTTTCGCCCTCGGCTATGTTCGCGTGGAATTTTGTCTGTCACAGAAAAACTTTGCGCGCGTTCCTGTTTCAAAAACTGGGATAAAAACTATCCCATCAAAAACAATACTTGTCAAAAAAACCAAGTCTCGCAACTCAGTTGTTCTACGGTAAAAAGTTGTGAGATCCATGTAATACCAAGTCCAGGCCAGGAAATCTTTAACGTTTTACATAAATTATTGACTTGGCCATCGCACTAAATAATTTAATTTACACGTGTTTTCATGCGATGGCCAAGTCAATATATTTATGTAAAACGTTAAAGATTTCCTGGCCTGGACTTGGTATTACATGGATCTCACAACTTTTTACCGTAGAACAACTGAGTTGCGAGACTTGGTTTTTTTGACAAGTATTGTTTTTGATGGGATCTCATTTCTTTTTGTATTTTGTAGACAGCAGTTATGTATCTAGAAAACTGGACCGAAATTGAAAAATTTTACTCGACTTGGCGGTTGCACTACCGTGCCCCCAAATATTTTAGTTTTTCCTTGATTCATACACCAAACACTACTTATATTCCAAATTTGAAGCTTCTAGGTCTGCTAGAAGTGCCTTAGAATTTTGATGATCGGTGAGTCAGTCAGTGAGTCAGTGAGTCAGTGAGTGACAAAATTAAGTAACTTTGACCCGTTATAATTCTTAAACTACTGGTTCAAATTGAATGAAATTTTAAATATACCGTGTCTTTACAATGCCTGCATAGCTAATGAAAATTCAGCCTTCTAGTTTTATCCACAACGAAGTTACAGGCGGTCGAAAATGGCCTGAATTGCTTCGAGAAAAGGATGGTACGGCCGTGCCGCTTTTTTGCTCGACTTGGTGGGGGCACTGCCGTGCCCCCAGATCCTTTGTCCTTTCCCGGGACTCAAACTATCTCTATGCCAAATATCATCAAAATCCGTTCAATGGTTTAGGCGTGAAAGTAAGAGAGACAGACAGAGTTACTTTCGCATTTTATAATATTAGTATAGATAGTATAGATAGGAGAATATAGCCCCACCCTATATTCTCCTATCTATCCTTTAAAAACGCTTATGTAATGATAGACTAGCTTTTGCCCCGCGGCTTCACCCTCGTTTTTAGAAATACTATGGTGCGCATGTCACTAAAAACAGAAATAACAACTAACCTATGTATTTACCTGGGTCACTAACCTATGTATTTACCTGGGTCTAGACTGGGTCTTAATACATATTAGTATGTAAGGTAAGTAGGTATAGATAGATATACAACATAGAAACAGCTGTGTTTTGTTGATACTTAAATTTTTCCGAATACAATATTCATCCATCCAAGCCTAACATGACAGAATTTCTTAAGTAATGTGAAAAAAACATTTTTGTCAACGGCAGAATTGTCTCTTCAACAAAGCCTTTTGGATAAATTGACAGGATTATACTGTATTATTTTTTCCAAAACATACTTGTAAATGAAAGAGATATTGAAAGTGAAAGGAAGGTAAAAACATTTACAATAACGACTTGATAAAAGCTAGTAGTAACTTTAAACTTTTAATAAATAAAGCCAACCCATGCTAAGGTGTACCGACGACCTCATAAAGGTAACAGGAAGGTGCTGGTCGCTGGATGCATATCAACTGATTATCTTGGAAATTATTGGGGGAGGCCTATGTTCAGCAAAGGACGTCCTATGTCACATGAAATAATGATGATGATGATGATGATGATGATGATGATGATGAACCCTTGCCTTTATAAAACTTGTGGTTTATTTAAGGCACTTACCTTAAAAGTGTAGTCGCCAGGCACCACGTCTGTCACATCCACCCACTGGCAGTCGATGGTGTACTGATACACGTCTGAGCAGTTCACTGATACACCTGAAACAAACAAAAAAACAGTATTAAACCTGGAGATATTTATAATAAGTACATGTATTTTTCAAAGTATAAAAAAGCACATTCTTATTGTTGAATGCCATTAAAAATCTTAATGAAAAAAAGAATAAAAGCATAGGACCAGTCATTGTGGAAATTCGAGGAGAAATCTTAATACAGCAGTAGAATGGGAAGCATTAGGTTAAAACGAACGAAATAAAATATTAATGGCGCGTGAATGTAATTCTACTAATCATCAATTAAACTAATCATCATTTCAGCCATAGGACATCCACTGCTGAACAAGTCAACATAGGCCTCCTCCATTGATTTCCTGACCGGTTGGTAGCGGCTTGCATCCAGCGCTGTCCTGCTTTATGATGTCGTCGGTCAATCTCGTAGGTGGCATCCCACACTGCGTTATCCTTGTAAAGTCATAAAGAATACAATACATTTTGCAAGGAGACTACTATATTAATTTGTGGTCTTGAGGTATTTTTGTGCTCTTCAATCAAAGACTAACCTTGATCCCCATAGTTCTTGCAAGAGTACTTCTTCTCGACCCCAGGCATGCAGGTGTTGTCCTCCAAGCAGAAGGACGCCTTGTGACCCTCCGCCACTCGGTGGCCGGTGCTATTGAGCACGTCGAATGTCGCGAACACTTCCATGCTGTGGTAGTGCCTAGCAAGTAAACATTTGGTGGTAAAAAGGAGATGGTACTGTTCTGAACTGAGTTGACAATCGTTTAAGGGCGAATGTATTTGCGCTCGCTAGTTGTTGAGTGATAGGCAGAACTCTATAGGTACATCATTCTGGTGAGTGTAAATGTTCCCCTACAGTGGTCACTAGTGTCAAGTAGTGGCAATTGTAGTGGTACGACCGACATGTACCCTAAAGCAGCGGCCAAGGCCATTCCAAATTTTTTATTGTTTTGGACCTTAGGACAAGGGTGAAAGGTTAAATGTATGGTAGTAACGATATTTCTATTGCCTTGGTAAGGTCTACGTAAAGGCGGGCCTCTGATTATGAAGTGCATCATCTTTGTGCTTCATAAATTACAGCTGGACTTGGAAATACTCGATTTATATTACCAGGTATTCCTTATACATACATGTGACAAAGATGCCACTGCCACAGATGCTTGGGCAGGTACGGCCTGAAGTCGTCATTCCCAATGTTCAGAGATGAAGCCGTGAAGCGCAGGAGTCGACGCGTCTCGAATTGCCAGTCTGGATTCCTCTCCTTGATCTGTCAACACAAAGTCAAACGATTCGGTAACGTCAAGTGACAAAAATAGGACTGGCACGAGAAGGTGTTTTTGTAACGTCAAATGTTAATTTTTTTTTATGTGACTGGAGGCAAACTAGCAGACGGATGACCTGATGGTAAGTGATTACTGTCGCCCATAGACACCTGCAGACCCAGGGGCGTTACAGGTGCGTTGCCGGCCTTTGAGGTGAAGATACGCTCTCCTCTTGAAAGCTTGTGGTCGTATCCGTCCGGAAACACCGCAGACGACAAAACGTTTAAAAAAAATGTCAGTGAGACTTCAGATATAATATACTCTGTCACATTATAGTCAATGCCACCCCTCCCTTTCCGCTCTCATACCTCAGGCACTGACTTGATGAAGCGCGAGATCTAGTGGTTTACACAATTAAAACAAAGTTAATATTATTGTCGCTTTTATGAGTCATGATTAACGATAGCACATAAAGAGCTAAATTAGCTAGTTATTTTAATTGAAATATTATGTAGCGAGTGTCAAAAATAAGGTGTAAGTTTTACACATTTTATATTTAAAGACCTTACCTCATAAGCAGATTTACTCAAGCAGTTCTCTTCCATCGCGCATTGGAGCTGGTACATCGACACGTCCTGCAGATGGGACGTTCTTTCTATAGCTGTTGTGTCCAGGGCCAGGTCGGCTAGCACGTGGGTGCATACCACTGCTGCCACGTAACCTGGTGGTAAGTGGATGAAACGTCATTTTATAATCATTAAGGCTGGGTTGCACCATCTTACTTTGACTTTACAAACGTCAAAAATCTGTCAAACTCCATACAAAAAACACCGGTTATCGATAATTTTACGGTCAAAGTTAGGTTGTGCAACTCAGCCTAAGTAACGTCATTTAGGAAGCATCTCCATGGACTTGCTTGGTATGATAGTGACGACACAGACACGGCGAGAAAAATCACATGTGCGCGAGCCCTATGACCTAGCCCTATGCCCGAATGTCCAACCAGGACAATAACTCGCGGCTCCGTTTCTTTGGGCTCTGGTGGAAACCGTCGGGTTTTAGTGGGGAGGCCCCGCCTTTAGGGGGGGGGCGGGGAGAGTCCCACATAACCCACTGGCCGTCCCCATAGACCAGTGGGTATGCGCACGGCTATCACCTACAACTACATCAGCGGTGTCCTAACGTGTCGACATTGTTCGCGCACGTTTACCAACAAGATTGGCTACTGTAGCCATGTGAGGGCACATGATAGGGCAGCAGGATATATATATATATATATACAAGCCATACCCAAGCCGCTTTCGGCTAACGGTAACTGCGACAAAATTCCTTTAGTCCGCAATAAGAGGGCTACGCTGGGCTGCCCTATCATGTGCCCTCACATGGCTACAGTATATATATATATATATACTCCCAAGCCGCTTTTATATATATATAAATAATAAATGAACCTATTCATAAAATACGAGTAACTTATAAAACTTAATTCGGAAAAACATTCAAAACACAATCAAATAGAAAACTAATTTACGAAGTTACTTAAAACAACATTGCTTTTCATTGACCTCATTGTACCCAATTCTTTTTACGGGTTTACTTAAATCTACCATCGGTTTTAGATGAAGATTTATGCATTTCTTATTCCAATTCTATTCTTGAAAGGTAGAGTTCAGACTTTGTCGGTCGATAGTTTGATCGTCTTCCACTATGTCAGTCAGTGTGAGTGCCCAACACTTCTCCGCTCTGCTCCGCTCCGCTCTGCTTTGATGAAAAACAGGCCTTACATTAAGTACTTAAACTCAGCCTAAGTGCTGCTTAGCTACTTACTTAAGTACAGCTTCTATCATCCGTTGCAGGTTCTATCTCTGTTTCTGAAGAGTTTTGTGTTATTATGATAATGGAACATTCAGAGCAAACAACGTTCGCGGCAGCTAAATGTAGCCGGTGGCGCCATCTACTTTGAATTTGTAGTGGGATAGTATGCTATTTGTAGGTGTTTGGCCAATCCATTACTGATATTATTAATGCAGAAATAAACCTTGTAAAGTATTAAGCTTTTCTTTAAAAATATATTTATAGAGGGAGTAAATCTATCTCACTCGTCACTATAAGCTTTTTTAGGTGTTTTTCATAAAAATATGGAAAGCTTTTGGTATAGAGGAAGGTTGAACTTTGGTGAAGGGCACAAAGTAAATTTTGTTGCAAAAATCAAACTTGAAAAAAGAAAATTTTGTAAGAAGCCACTATTTTTTAAAATGGAATATAATGAATCATAATTAAACTTTTGTTAATAAGACTTAGGCTGAGTTGCACCGTAATTTGACCGTAACTTTAACGACAACCGGCGTTTTTTGTATGTAGTTTGACAGTTTTTTGACGTTTGTGAAAGTTAAAGTTAGATGGTGCAACCCAGCCCTAAAGCGTTTTCTGTTACAGGCCGATATTCAAGGAAAAACCGCGGACATATGTTAGTAAAATACAATTTTTAGATTATAATAAGTAAGTTTATCATTCGAAATTCCGTAAGTAAAAATAAATCCTATATTAAATTCTCGTGTTATGAGGAAAACTAGCAAACAACCATTAGGCGTAAGCGTATTTAGGCCTATTGACAAATAGGCACAGACAGCACACGAGACATTTCTTGTTGCAAAATCGCTTTTGTTACAACTGTATAAGATTCAGCGTTTAGCTTTTAGCTAGATCTATTACTTCTATACTAATATTATAAATGCGAAAGTAACTCTGTCTGTCTGTCAGTCTGTCTCTCTTTCACGCCTAAACCACTGAACCGATTTTGATGAAATTTGGCAGGGACATAGTTTGAGTCCCGGGAAAGGACATAAGATAGTTTTTATCCCGGTTTTTGAAACAGGGACGCGCGCGATAAAGTTTTTCTGTGACAGACAAAATTCCACGCGGGCGAAGCCGCGGGCGGAAAGCTAGTAAATAATATGTCTTACAAGACAACAATTTAGGTACTATTAAATACAGGGTACATATTTGTAATTGAATGTTGGCGAGATTTAGTACATGTTTGTTTTAGAGATCTCTTGAACAACATACAAATAACTCTCCAGAAATTAAATAGATGTAATTTTCCCCAAATTAAAACAAGAAATTCAAGACTTATTCTCTCAAAAGGGTATTAAGATAGTTGTAAAGTTTTAAGACTGTCTGGACTCTAATCTGCTAAGAGGTTAACAAGGATTTGCTCAGATACTTAGNATTCTTCTCCGCTCCGTAAAATCCTTTCTTAGCGGATGCCTACGTCATAACATCTACCTGCACGCTAAATTTCATTTGGGCTGTGCGTTGATAGACCACTATGTCAGTCAGTGTGAGTGCCCAACACTTCTCCGCTCTGCTCCGCTCCGCTCTGCTTTGATGAAAAACAGGCCTTACATTAAGTACTTAAACTCAGCCTAAGTGCTGCTTAGCTACTTACTTAAGTACAGCTTCTATCATCCGTTGCAGGTTCTATCTCTGTTTCTGAAGAGCTTTGTGTTATTATGTTAATGGAACATTCAGAGCAAACAACATTCGCGGCAGCTAAATATAGCCGTGGCGCCATCTACTTTGAATTTGTAGTGGAATATGCTATTTGTAGGTGTTTGGCCAATCCATTACTGATATTATTAATGCAGAAATAAACCTTGTAAAGTATTAAGCTTTTCTTTAAAAATATATTTATAGAGGGAGTAAATCTATCTCACTCGTCACTATAAGCTTTTTTAGGTGTTTTTCATAAAAATATGGAAAGCTTTTGGTATAGAGGAAGGTTGAACTTTGGTGAAGGGCACAAAGTAAATTTTGTTGCAAAAATCAAACTTGAAAAAAGAAAATTTTGTAAGAAGCCACTATTTTTTAAAATGGAATATAATGAATCATAATTAAACTTTTGTTAATAAGACTTAGGCTGAGTTGCACCACATATATTTCACCGTAACTAACGATAACCGGCGTTTTTTGTATGTAGTTTGACAGTTTTTTTATGTTTGTGAAAGTTAAAGTTAAATGGTGCAACCCAGCCTTAAAGCGTTTTCTGTTAGGCCGAAATTCAAGGAAAAACCGCGGACAGATGTTAGTAAAAAAAAAAGATAATTTTAGATTATAATACTTAGGTACAGTTTATCGTTCGAAATTCCATAAGTAAAAATAAATCCTATATTAAATTCTCGTGTTATGAGGAAAACTAGCAAACAACGTAGGCGTAAGCGTATTTAGGCCTATTGACAAATAGGCACAGACAGCACACGAGACCTTTCTTGTTGGCAAAATCGCTTTTATAACAACTGTATAAGATTCAGCGTCTATCTAGATCTATACTAATAGTATAAATGCGAAAGTAACTCTGTCTGTCTGTCTCTCTTTCACGTCTAAACCACTGAACCGATTTTGATGAAATTTGGCAGGGACATTAGTTTGAGTCCCGTGAAAGGACATAGGATAGTTTTTATCCCGGTTTTTGAAACAGGGACGCGCGCGATAAAGTTTTTCTGTGACAGACAAAATTCCACGCGGGCGAAGCCGCGGGCGGAAAGCTAGTAAATAATATGTCTTACAAGACAACAATTTAGGTACTATTAAATACAGGGTACATATGTATTTGTAATTGAATGTTGGCGAGATTTAGTACATGTTTGTTTTTGAGATGTCTCTTGAACAACATACAAATAACTCACCAGAAATTAAATAGATGTAATTTTCCCCAAATTAAAACAAGAAATTCAAGACTTATTCTCTCAAAAGGGTATTAAGATAGTTGTAAAGTTTTAAGACTGTCTGGACTCTAATCTGCTAAGAGGTTAACTAGGATTTGCTCAGATACTTAGTTAGATAATTGTTTAGATTTTCAGTCTGAAATGTGTCTCTGTGCGTTGTTAGAAGATAACGTATTATACAGGAATTGTATGGGTGGATTGAAGTCCATAAAGTTGATGGAATGCTTTAAACGAAACCAACATACTGGAGTAGCTACGTTGCAAACAAACTTAATTCTTCTATACTTTGTTACAATGTAACATTTTAATTATCAAGCTGTATATAAAGCCAATCGAAGTTTGTTGACAGTTGAACAAAATTAGTATTCTCGTGATTGGTATTTATTATGTAGTCGAATTCTACATTTTCAACCGTGGTGTAACCATGAGAGAAAACCTCACATCTCATTTACACATTAATATGCATTTCAGTCAATATTACAGTTCTGGATCTTCCTCCTGAAAAAATACTTCTTTTACGCTTAAGAGGTTTTCAGTCTAAGGCGTAGATGGATTTGGTAAACATTTCCGACGCTGACTAGATTGGTTAAGAAGGTTTGTGATATCATGTTTTTCATCCTATTTCATCATTCCCTCCATGCCGTTTATGATAGTGGTAATGCTGATCCCATCTTTTTCGTAGTAATAATAAATCTGTAGAGAGGTCAATTCTGTACATGAAATATATTTTCAAAATAACTATCAGGGGTGATATTAGTGATCGATACTGATGCCAAAATGCAATCAGTAAAATGTTTGTCTGTCTGTCTGTATGTTCCTTATAGAAACAAAAACTACTCGACGGATTTTAACGAAACTTGGTACAATTATTCTTCATACTCCTGGGCAGGCTATAGTATACTTAGGAGTATGGTAGTAAAATCTAAACCGCTTAAGTTAGACGCTTGAAACTTGGCATGCAGGTACCTTAGTAAACTTAAACCTTAGTTACAACAGGATATTGTAAAATTCCCACGGGAACGGAAGTTAGCGGGAAAAAACATTTGTATGAAAAAATCTAAACCGCGTAAGATAGATGAAGGGGGTAAAACGGGATCCACGCGTACGAAGTCGCGGGCGGCCGCTAGTTGCTAATAATTTCCTAAGTTTCCTCGTATTATGCCATCATTATTTAATTATCAATTAACAGACTCTTACCAACTTCGCCAGGGCACACCACGTCTCCATACTCCCTATGACTGCACATGAAGAGATTGCTTTCGTTTCCTTCACACTTCACTCCACTGAGGACTATCCTGGAGTCTCCGTAGAAGTCAGTCTGGAGGGCCTGCTGGGCATACCCTGGAACATAATAGAATACTGTAGGAATGTACACACTGAATGCATGTAAAAGTAAGGATTTGAATGAAGTGGAATGGAATGAAGTAGAATGGAATGGAATGAAGAAGAATTTGTTATTGAAAACCTTGTGGAACATTGTGGAAAACCTTGGGGGAGGACTTAGGCCAGCAGTGGACGTCATTTGGCTGAAACGAACGAACTTACGAAGAAAAATAGAATGGAATAAAGTAGAATGGAATATAATGAAGTAGAATGGAATGGAATGAAATGGAATACTTGCCTAGGGCTAAATGACGACAAACGGCGGAGGCTTCGTAGACAGTCCAGCCGTCAGGGCAAATGCTGCCCCAGGATCCGTTGTGGTATATCTGGAAGTGTAAAAACATTTTTTTAAGTAAGTAAGATATGTTTTGGATAATAACGGTGGCATAGTGGGCGGGCGCTAATTAGGCCACTTATAGAAGCTGGTGAAGACAGGTCAAAATAGCAACATGACAAGTCAAAGAGAGGTTAAAATGGCGCGTATTACTCGTAGGAGAGACCTAGCTATGTCCAGCAACTCATTGCTATTGGCTGATGATGAAAATTATGGGCTCACGTTTTAATGAAATCGTTGTATTGGTGTCTTAAACGATATTGGCGACAGGAGAGACTTTCGAAATGTGTAATAAAAATATTCTCCAAAAGAATAATGTACTCACTTCCACTCTCCCTTCGTTGTTACTCCGACCACCGCTAAGTCTCAAACTGGCAGACTTCAGATCCAAGGCTTCCAGAATCTTCTTATCGCTACTCTTTGGAGATTCCGTAGATACTCCACTATCCTTGTCAAAGCATATCACTCCAGCTGCTTCACTGGGCTCACAATCTGATGATCCCCAACCGGAGAATATGCAGTGGGATAGTGATTTCTCTTCGCCTTCACAGACTACGTCATCCATCCAGAATCTTCCTGTAAAACATAAAATTTTTATACAAGGACAGCGCAGTCTGATAACAAACAATGAAAACCATAGTAAAAGCGAGATTGCCTTTAATTTTTTGAAACTCGTGATATTTAAAACGTTGCCATTACCCGTTTGGTTGCAAAAGCTTCTTAACTTCCTGAAAATTACAAATACATTTACGGGACAAAAAGCGATCTTCAAGCTACCCCAATCCACCTGAGCAACATGGGGAGTGCATGCCAAATCCTCTATTTGTCCCTTGTAAATTAGAAAGGGTCGTGATACTGCAGTGGAAACTAAATGACTTGATGATTTGAAACTATTTATGCAGTAAAAAATCAAACATACTGGTAGCTTCCCCATACTGCGCTCCATACGTGGCCACACCAGTTCTGTTGAAGATCCTGCACACGACCCTGGCAGCAGCATCGTCCCAGGAATCATCGCAGACGGCCCCCCAGCGTCCCGCGTGGTAAATGTACACGTTCCCTATAAAGGAGTTATGAGATTATATTTTCTTTTATATAAGTATCCTGTAGTACATAATAAGTACGTGTAGGTAGGTACACTGCACCATCTAGTCCCAGTCTAGGTACCTACTCTGGGTACCAGACAACGGATAGGTACTTATAAACATGTTTGAATATTTTAATACCTACGTTTAGGTACTTAAATCCATTAAATACCTTCATGTTAAACATAGGAAACACGCAAAAGGTCTATGCAATTAATGATAAACAATATTACAATAAATACCCGATTTAATTGATAAGCAGACCTATTTTAGTACATTTTAACGACCTACAAAAATTATTATTCGAAACTCAAGTTCTGTATAAATGTTTGCTTTTTCTGGAGCGTGCATTGCTTTCAAGCAGCTGGTAAACATTTTTATATTTTTAATTTCCATACGCTGTCATAAGAGTTAATTTAATATTGCCCACTAGTTTAAAAAAGCTGTATCATCATAATGATATAAATGATATTATGTAGTCGTGACCTACTTTGTTTTCCTTCTTCTTTATTATATTGACCTCGACATACTGCAGTAAGATTTTGCGATAAAAAATTAGTGCATAGGATCATTATTACAAAAAGCAAGAATCTGAATGTTTTATGTCTTAATTTAGTTCCCTTATGTTGAAACTTTTATCTCATGACAAAATATACCTTCAGACTATTTTCTAAACAGAACTATTAGTAGTTAAATTAATAAAACTAATATTGTATATCAATCGAGGAAAAACATGTTTTCAAGTAAAAATTGTGAGTGTTCAATAAATACGTGGCTAAATAAAGCATCAAACTTACGAAGAAGTATAAAACCTTACCTTCGAATTCGTTAGGGCCGCTCAACCTTATTTTCCCTTCCAAATACTTTCGTTTGTTCAACAAGTTTTGAACAAAAACAGCCCTTAGTGTCCTCTCACTCTCATCTAAGTCTTTACTCAATACACCGACAGTCTTCACTATCAAGAACAAAAGCGCTAATGAATTCCACAACATTTTGTTAGTCTGGGTACAGTTTTTGAATCAGCGTGACATTATAATTACAGGCCCAAAATACGTCCTTGCGAGACTCCCGCTATAATTTCACTTGGCCTTAATTTGTGCTTTGTAATTAGGAAAATTCACTTCTCAGTATTACAGGCACTAACTATTGTTATTATTTGTTCAAGTACACAAGATGTGAAGCTATGTGATTTGCTATATCAACACAATCAAAAGCCTTAGCCGTAACCGTACTAGGAGTCACTTTGAAGCTTCTTAGCCAACTGTGATTGCGGTCTGTGATTGGTACAATTAGTTTGTATGATTCTAGTCAATGTCAAGAGGAGCATTGATGAGTAACCCACATGGTTTCAATGAAGATTCATAGTATTTATTATTAAGGGAGCAGATATCGATCTTGGCTTCTTGGAAATGACTTTGAACGTCAACTATGTCTTGGATTATTTCTAATTCTTTTCAAATGTAAAGTGGGGTTTTCGAATTAATGAATGTTTATTTTTTACGAAATTTCAGAAAAGTATTTAAACAGATTTTTTTTTTATCCACAACGAGGAAGCTCTTGGCCTGTATCTCACCTGATGGTAAGTGACGATCAGGCCGAAGGTGGAAGCGAGCTTCACCCGGAATCCTCAACCACGGAGGAACTGGCTATCTTACCTCTAACTGCCGGAACACAACAATGATGTTAACATTGTTGTTATGGCGACAGACTTAGGTAAGATGGTGGTAGCTAGCCAGGCGGACTTAGAACAAGCCCTACCACCAACCGAACAGAAAAATCTGCCCCCACTGGGAATCGAACCCGGGACCTCTGCGTCTGACGCAGGTGGTCTTACCACTAGACCACAGAGGCGGTTTTATTTTTATTTTCAGTGTCCAAATTATACAAACTTATTTAAAACTAAGTGCCACGTCATAATTTACCGGTAATAAATCGTATCTAGCTCTACATTTTAAATACTAGACTTCGAACGTTCTGTTGGTATTTTGATAGACTTACCTACACAAACAACCACGCCAAAAGCTTGTGCATAACTTATATCTACAGAAGCTAGCTAAGACTAGTTACTAGTTATTATTTGCCAACAGCTTTAACGTTAGGAATTGAGGAATCACTTAAGAAGTTTTTAAGCAAAAACTGTCCTAAGTTTAACGCAATCTTATTCAGTTTTGACTTAGTTTTGATCAAAATGATACGAAAGAAAAACTCCAAACTTTTGTAACAGCAAAGTGAAAAAGTTAACAAAAACAATCTCCGCCCAATTAAAATCAAGCGTCTACAATCTGTAAACGTAAAAACTCTAAAAATCCTGACCATAAATGAAATGAGTTTTGAAGTAACTGAAAAGTTGGGAATAACTTTGTAACAATTTCTCAGTCTGCTTCTCCTTAATTGCTATTATGAACACGGAACATTTTGCAGTGGAATAACGTTTCATTTGACCTAAATTATAGCAGAATGTGTCTTGGGATTGAATTGTTTGTTCCCTTGTGCTCTATTTTGGTCTTTCCATCAACGTGTTTGGAGGTAAATTGGCGTGGTGTGATGCGACAACGACGACTAAAGACAATTGACAGTTGTGAAATGAGCTAGAAAATTGGGATGATGACGTCATGCGTGTCTGGACGGAATAGGAGAGCAACAAAACAATTGTTATGACATTGTTTGCGGTGATTTTTCCACAAACAAAGCAGATCTTGATTTATTGGAATAGAAAAGGAAAATCGAAGGACGTGATAAATAGTTCGGTCGCCAATAAATTGATTGGAAATGATAAATTTATCTTATAGCTTTTTATTTCTGTGGCTTCTAAATAGGTTGGGTTTTGATTTGATATTTGGAACGTTTGTGGTTGTTATTTTAAGCTTTTATTTTTCTTATTGAAGTTATGAAAAATAGACGATGAGAAGTTAAGTAAACATTTATTCGAACTGCTCAGCTGTGTGTTTATTTATTTTTAATATACTTAAAAATATAATTTCACAAACTCACATTCACAGCGACATCAACCTTCCCACGAAATTACTTACTATTGATTTCATGCCTTAATAATATCTCCATTAACTTTATGCTTGTGTTATAAATGGGTTTACTACATAACGAAGTGGTGGATGGGAATCGAACTATCGATCCTCAAATTTTCAAATTGGCACTCAGACGCCAACGCCAACATCGTTGGACTAATGTCGCAAGGTTTTAATTACCTATTTTCACTTTTGGCGACCACGGGCTGGAAGACGTAGCGTGGGCAGGCCTCCTACTAGGTGGGCACCACAGGACCGTTCATTGTGGAAAACCTTGGAGCCTTTGTCCAGCAGTGGACGTCATTTGGCTGAAACGAAAGAACGAACGATTATCACTTTTGATAAATTATTAAAGGGATACTATCCAACCGCCTACACCATGGTTTAATTGTCAATGATTATTGGCCTAGACCCTATCCGCCCGCATCGTATTACCTAACAATCCTAAGCGTAGGATCCCAAAGGCATTGTATCACTAACAATACTGACTAGTCGTTAAATATTCATTAGTTAGCCAGAGCGAGCTAGGCCACGATTATTTAGGCTGCTACTTTTAAGTCAACTACGAGTATATTACGAGCAAAGCTAAGCCACTTCCAAGCCCGTATCATTTCGCTAACTTGTAGGGAAAATAATAACGATAAATGAACAAATTACACACATAGTGCATAGTATTAGGAAAAATATGCGCTATAAATAAAATAAAATATGTATAGATCGTTTCATCCACGAAGACGCGCACTACCAATTTTTAGTCGAGGGAAGCGCGGGGTGCGGGGTGTTTGATCCGAGCAATCCGAGCATCATTATTGTAGTGTGCGTGTGCACTCATGGATGATTTAGCGTGTACCGATAACACTCAAACATTAGCGGAAGAATGGTGGGGCGCACCTTCGTGGATGAAACGATCTATCTATAGCAAGAAAATTTAGATAACTAAATTGCAGAACTCACCGTTTTGGTACCTTTAGAATAGATAACGTTAGTTAGATCGTATTACGGAACAAGGACGTAAAAACGTGTGAAAAAGGACCTACATTAAGAACTGTAACTTTATATGAATATTAATGAGGAAGATTTCTCAGTCGTCCTCTTTTATAAGAGAGTAGGTAAAATTTAGAAAACTCTAGGTACTTACAATTTGTTTTGCTTCATAAGATATGAAAGAGGTTCATTCAAAATATTAAGCATCTCAAGACATGACTTAAAAAGATGGTGAGATACATATTATAAATACCTAATTTTTAAAGGTCTTCATTTCTTAAGCTACAGTACAGATACTTAAAACCGTAATACATTACTCACATAAGTATCTAACGCCCGTATTCATAAACGATGCTTGCTTAAATGAAGCAGCAAATCGAACGCACAACGTTGAATAGAGCTCTGTGATTGGTTCGTGTGTCACCCTGTGCGTCCACGCGCACTGTGATACCTCATAGGAATGTTTGTGGATACGGGCGTAAATTAATTAGTATCGCACTCAGAATATAAGTATTGGCCATTAATTAAAAAAACTGGGCCAAGAGTGGCGCAATGTTGACCCATAGTTGACCCGAGAACTATAAATCATGTTCCGTTAATTCATTGCTTTTGTTGGCTCTTTAATCACCATTTATTGTAGATTTTGTCGGCCGTTTGGTGTAGTGGTTCAGAACGGACTACTATGCCGAGAGGTCCCGGGTTCGATTCCCGGCCGGGCAGAAATTGAAATGATGAATTTTAATTTCTGTGACGGGTCTGGGTGTGACTATGTATAATATGTATGTATTTAAAAAAAAAAAAAGTATATAAGTAGTATATCCGTTAACCTAGCACCCATAACACAAGCNGGTCGCCAATAAATTGATTGGAAATGATAAATTTATCTTATAGCTTTTTATTTCTGTGGCTTCTAAATAGGTTGGGTTTTGATTTGATATTTGGAACGTTTGTGGTTGTTATTTTAAGCTTTTATTTTTCTTATTGAAGTTATGAAAAATAGACGATGAGAAGTTAAGTATAAACATTTATTCGAACTGCTCAGCTGTGTGTTTATTTATTTTTAATATACTTAAAAATATAATTTCACAAACACATTCACAGCGACATCAACCTTCCCACGAAATTACGTACTATTGATTTTATGCCTTAATAATATCTCCGTTAACTTTATGCTTGTGTTATAAATGGGTTTACTACATAACGAAGTGCTGGATGGGATCGAACTATCGATCCTCAAATTTTCAAATTGGAACTCAGACGCCAACATCGTGTCGCAAGGTTTTAATTACCTATTGTCACTTTTGGCGGCCACGGGCTGGAAGACGTAGCGTAGGCAGGCCTCCTACTAGGTGGACCGACGATCTGGTGAAGGTCGCGGGAAGAGCCTGGATGCGGGCAGCGCAGGAACGCCTACACCATGGTTGGATTGTCAATGATTATAGGCCTAGAACCCATCCGCCCACATCGTATTACCTAACAATCCTAAGCGTACGAGTAGGATCCCAAAGGCATTGTATCACTAACAGTACTGACTAGTCGTTAAATATTCATTAGTTAGCCAGAGCGAGCTAGGCCACGATTATTTAGGCTGCTAAAGCCCGCTCTGTGAGTACGTAGAATTTTGTCCAATGACCCCAAGCTACCCATCCTTATCGCTCGCGCGTAATTACATTAGATACTGTCGCGACTGTGCGACGAGCGCCCGCAATGAGTGTGCGAGCGCGACAGCAACATAATTACGTGCGAGCGATAAGGATGGGTAGCTTGGGGTCATTGGACAAAATTATACGTGCTCGCAGACCAGACTATACTTAAGCCAACTACGAGTACCTATATTACGAGAAAAGCTAAACCACATCCAAGCCCGTATCATTTCGCTAACTTTTAGGTAAAATTCCTTAATTAATAACGATAAAATGAACAAATTAAAGATACACACATAGTGCATAGTATTAAGTATAATATGCGCTATAAATAAAATAAAATAAAATATGTAATACTATTGATCGTTTCATCCACGAAGACGCGCACTACCAATTTTTAGTCGAGGGAAGCGCGGGGTGCGGGGTGTTTGATCCGAGCAATCCGAGCATCATTATTGTAGGGTGCGTGTGCACTCATGGATAATTTAGCGTGTACCGATAACACTCAAACATTAGCGGAAGAATGGTGAAGCGCGTCTTCGTGGATGAAGTCAATCTATAGCAAGAAATTTTTGATAACTTAATTGCAGAATTCACCGTTTTGGTACCTTTAGCATAGATAACCTTAACTAGATCGTATTACGGAACAAGGATGTAAAAACATGTGAAAGAGGACCTACTTTTGTAACTTTATATGTATAGTAATGAGGAAGAT